AGAATTTAAATGTTTATATTTCTTATATTTTTATTATTTATCGTTAGTATTGTTTATAAGATCTTGATTTTAATATTGTTATCTTAGTATTAATGTTGTCTATTTCATGAGTTTGAACTTAATTGAAATATTAGTGATTTCACATTAAATTTTTTAGTATGGTTTCTTTAAGTTGATATTGATTAAGTATTAGTTAGGACTTTTTTATCATTAGTGAAACTATTTTTAGGCTGATGTAAGTTAGATTTTTAGTTGATGTTGATAAGAGTCAATATTGATATTACTGTGACATCTACGTAGGTTAAAGTAAGTGAAGAAAAATTTACTAGTTAGAAAATTTGAAAAGTTTTTAAAGAAAATAAAAACATCTTTAAAGGAAGTTGCTACCAAGAATTACTTAAAAATAAAAGTAAATATTTTATTGTGGATTTTATGTCTGAATTTATTTAAAAGACATAAGGATATTATTAAAAGAAGTGTAGACAAAGAAAATTCAGTTGATAAGTTTTACAAGATAAAATTTGTTAAATCTGCTGAACGATAAATATATTGAACTTACCATACATCACGTGACTAAAATATCAAAATAGTAAATTACACTAAAGAATCTATCAGTGGACAACATCATTGGTCAAACTGATAGAGAGTAACCACTCCACACTCTCTTAATAATTTTTGCAACCACATGACATTTGTATCTCAAATTAAACATAAATTCATCTTACATGCTTTAAATGATGAATATTAGATTAATGTTATGCATGATAAACTAAATCACTTTGTTAAAAATGATATTTGAAAACAAATAATGTAAATATAATATATTATTATTATTATTATTATTATTATTATTATTATTATTATTATTATTATTATTATTATTATTATCAAGTTTTATTTATATTTCGAATCACCATGTTTAGTTTTAATGTCTCTATCTCTTTCAAAAAGTACAATTGGGTGGTTATATTTGAACTTTGTTTATGGGAATACCAAAGTAGAGAGGAAACGTAAGCTTTGTTTAATGGGAATCAAAACTTTTTTTGGTGGCAAGTCAAAGCAAATAAAATAAAATGTATAAAAATTATTGAAACAATTGCCTTTTATCTTATTCATTTCCTTCTACTCTCATACGTAAATTGATATGATTTCATAAATATTGGTTAGTTAGTGGTATTGTTTTCCTCTAGAATTTGGATATGTTAATGTTATGAAATTATTATATTAATAATTTGACATAATTTATAACTTAATTAGTGATAGTTATAATAAGAGAAAATTAGTAATTTATATTCTTTTATTAGAAAACATATATTTATCGATTTTGTTAACTATGAAAGCTTTTATTGATTATTTTGAGTAGAGTTTTTTTTTTTATCACATTTGTTCTATAATATTATATAAATAAATGAATAAATTAAACGAAGGACATGTAGAATTTGCAAACTAATCCAAAAGAAAATTAAAATATTGTTTTAAGTGTCCCCTTCTTTATCACTTTTTTACCCTTTGCTTAATCCAATCCAATGATTGTACAATAAACCTTCCTAGTGAACCTTCGTTTTCATTAGGATGGCAAAACGGGCCAGCCTGCTCGTTTTGGCCGTCCGCTTTAGGCGAGCTGGCCTGATATAGTCATGATGGTTAGTAGACCTTAGCTCAGTCCCACCAGAGGCGGGTTAGCAGGCTGGCTCGCCATAATTAAAAAAATAATTTTTTTAATAAATTTAATAATAAGATTATTATTTGTTTGTCAATAATTCTATATATATATATATATATATTATTTCAATTTAATAATATAAATCAATATATTATTTTAAGAAATTATAATTTAGAACAATAATAAAATTTACATAATAATAAATAATAACAAATATATATATATATAAATAACGTTAAACTTATAAAATTTATATTTTTTATATTGAAAAATTCAAATACCTATATCTTTTTTATTTGATAAAACTTCGTATTATACTTGGTTGAGTAATTCTTATACCTTTAATTCAAGTAATAAGGATAAATATAATCGATACTTAGGATAAATAAGGAGAACAAGAGAGAAGGTTATATTTCAGGAAGGAGAATATTTTCTCGTGAGAATGAAACTTTTTAATTATCTTTTTAAAATTTTTAACTTTATATATTATCTTTATAATTAATTTTATTACAATAAAAAAATATTTTTTTATTAATTAAGCGGGTCGCTGGGCTGACCCGCCCGTCCTGCGAGTTGGCCCGACGGGTTGACGGGCTTGGCGGGCGGGCCATAACGGGCTGGTGGGCTGGTGGGCTGGGCCTAACCCGTTTTGCATGTATGCTACTTCCCAAATCCCAACTAATAAATGCACGAGTATTTACAAGTAGCCCCACCTTCAAATTATTATTAATTAAAAGAACTTTGAAACATTTGGTACGCTGTCGCTTTAGCGTGAGACATTATATCTGACCATATTTGAAGTAAACAAGTTTAAAAATCTTAAGAACAAAATACCAAGGAAAAGTCATTAAAAAATAATTATATACACAGTTCGGCGAGCTATTCATTATTTCTACATTTTTCAATAATATATTATTTAATCTTAAAATTATTAATATATATTTATAAAATAAAAATTTAAAGTAAAATGTTTTTTATTTTTATGTTTTGGTATGACATTCACATTTAGGAGGTGAATAATAGTTATTCGTTATTTGTATTGTTTTAAAAAAATAGCCTAATTATTTGTCTTGTTTACAAAAAATTGTTCCTTGAAAAAAAAATCATGGATTATTTTATAGTATAGATATCAATAACTTTTTTTTAAATATAATTTTTTTTAACTTTAAGTAAAATTAGCTTAAAAACTATTCTTTGAAATATAAACTTAAATAATATATTTATCTTAAATCTTAAAGTGTAATCTACATAAAATTTAATTATATCATAAAATAATTATAAAAAAAAGTAAACTCAAACAAGTTATATTTACATAAAATTAATCTATTTAAAAATAACTTCAATTCTATAAATATAAAAAAATAAAATTTAAAAAAAATTTCATTATAATTGTTCTATCAATAAATTTATTCTGACAATTCAATTTTATCAAATATTTAAATAAAAATTACAAATGGATCATGAGTATTTATAGTTTCATGTATTATTATATTTTAGTGGAGTTTTTTTATGGGGCAAGGACGTTTGCAGTCCAACTTTTTTTAATTATTTATATATTTATAATTTTGATTTTCAAAATTAATAAAAAATGTAATTATTCATATATTTATAATTTTATCTCTAAATTTAATAAATTATTAAATTTATATTAAATATATTTTTATATTTACTTTGTGTTTGTCAAGACCCACGATCAATTTATTTTAGTTAAACTAATAATTAAAATACATTTAGCATGTGTGTCAGGCGCGGAAAATAAGAAGAGACTGAATTATAGAAAAATAAAAAAATGAGTCATTAAAAAAATTATATACTAAAAAAATAAATAATAAATAAGATATAAATTTTTTTATTTTTAAATATTCTTAATTATTATAATAATAAATAATTAAATTAAAGTATTAAAATAATAAATAAATATATTTAAATTAATAAAATAATATTTTAACCAATTAAATCAATCTCATTTTTTATTTAAATTAAACATTTTTTTTCTTGCTATTTTTTTTTGTTACTGCCTCAAATTTAGTGGTTCAAATATGATTTTTGGGATTTATATAGCACGTGAGTGAAAAAGGAAAAAGAAAAGAGGAGTTGAAGGGAAGAAAAGGGGAAGAACATTCTCGCTATTCCACAAAGTGGCTAGTGAGGTGGCGAATTTAGTAGATTCAAATGAAAAAAAAAATTACTCCATTAAATAAATATAATTCTTTTCATCTTCATCTTATTATCAATATACAAAATCTATTTATATTTTACACGCTACTAGTAAATAGCTTCATTAGAAAAAATTATCCTAATGAATCTTTTATGGTTGGACAATAATAAAGATCAGAAAGTAATGTTATTTGTCATCATCCCCACACAAGTATCTAATTTTCATCTCCTACCCCCACTAGAGAAAAATAAAAATAAAACATTAATAATAATAATTTAATGATATCATATATAGATACCTAATACTATCTGCATAATCAAGTTTCTTCCCCTATTTTTTTTTTCCTTGTTCATAAAATGCTTAAATCAAAATTATGAAAAGCAAAAGAGGATGTCCATTCTTTATAGGAGAATAAAATGAGATTTTTGCACATTGAACAACAAAGTAAAGATTTTGACTAGATTCAAAGCAACCTCAAATGAATTTGGCAAAATTTAAAAAGCAGTCCCATTCAAAGTCAAACAAACTAAAATGTATATTTTTGGATAAGATTGCTTTGCTATTTTACAACTTTGTTTTCAAAATCAGACTTTTGTTCGAACAAGTAATATTCAGTGATATTTTGACCAATTATAACACATTATTAAATTTTGTTTATTGCTCAAAGTAGTTCGGACTAGTAGGTGAACTGAACAGACAAACAGAGACTTCAAAAAAGCAGTTTTCTTCATTTTACTTCTTTTTCTTCTTATGAGAAACTTGCTCCCTGGAAATATGGTAACGTGGATCATAAACCTGTACCAGGACTCCACATCACCATGCCACGTCACCAGCCACACACCAACTGAAACATAAATCTGCACTACCCTTCTACTCCATTCAAAGGATTTGTATAAAATAGAAAAAATGAATTGAGGGAAGAACGAGGACTGAGTCAGTTTCTTGTGAAGCAAGTGTGTGTGAATGTGAGTCTGTGACTTTGGTTAGAGTAACAATACAAGACTTGAGCCATATTTTATGGTTTCTTCAAGAATCGAGAGTATTACGTCTGGGTTGGTTCATTCCTGGGGACAAAGAAAGTGAAAGGAAATTCAAGAAAACTATTCAGGGCATTGAATTGTGATTTTGTGGATGCATTTCATATACAACAAACAATATATAGCCTAGTTAAACATGGCCATGTTGAACAATTCTAGTACCACCACACAGTCACAGATCTTCCAAATCCAAGCACAAGTTCCACAGCAAAGGCTTCCTCAATTCACAGTCCCCATCAAGGTTTTGTGTCTCTCTTTGTTCCATTAATTTTTTGTTCTTTATGTTATCTTTAACTTTCTTTTGACTCTTTCTTTTTGTTTTGGAGTTGCTTCTCAATCAAGCTTATCTGCTGCCGACACATCCATTTCTCAGAGAACTCCTGAGTTTTTAATATTGTTTGTTTAATCAACACAAATCTCTTATGAAAAGTACAGTTTACAGACACTGCATTTGTCGCATGTCACTTGGTTGAAAGAACTCAATTCAACTTGTCATTTCTGGTGCAGGCACAAGTTTCGAACTTTCCCAATAGAACAACAGTGGCGGGTCAAACAGCAAGAAGGGTTTTCCAGATTCTCTTCTACTTGCATTTGTTCCTAGTTGCAGTCTTGGTGATCTTTCTCGTCATATATGGTTTTGTCTCTGACGCTCACACCCACCATTTCCACCCTCAGAAATGGTACCCCCCACTTCTAGCTTCTACAGCATGTGCTGGAATTGTTGGTTTCACATGGCAATGCATCACTGCACGCCACTCCACAAGGGTAGTCAGGTTAGCGTTTTGGCTGACTCCCCTGCTAACATGTGCAATGGGAATTATGTTTATATGCATTGGCACTGCAGTAAGTCTGGCAGTTGGTATAATTGCTTTGGTTTCTGCGTTAATCCAATCACTCTATGGTTGTTGGGCCAGTCCCAGATTTGAATATGGCACAAAAATCTTGTCAGTTTCAATAGCTTTTCCTCCTAACAAAACCCAAGGGCTAACCCTTTATTCAATCCTCATTGGCATCCTTTACTGCTGTTTCCTGGTGGCTGGGATTGGAGGAGCTAGAGCCACTGAAAACAGAACCAAACTAGCAGCTTTTTTCATCTTCTTGATGTTGCTGAGCCTAGGATGGACTATGCAGTTTCTGAAGAATGCAATGTATGTCACTATTTCAAGGGTCAAGTATATGCATTTTTCTGGAGGAGTTGACATGGACACTAGAGTTGCATTTTGTGACACAATCAAGCACTTAACTGGATGTGTTTCCATAGGCTCCATCTTGGTTCCCATCATCGTGCTTTTCCGTGGTTTTGCACGAACCACGAGTCTGGTTGGAGGAGATACAGATGAGTTCATGTTTTCCTGTGTCAGTTGCTATATGGGGATTGCATCTCTTCTTGTGATCCGTGGAAATAGGTGGGGTTTTGTGCACGTTGGAGTTTATAACAAAGGGTTTGTGCAGGCATCATCTGATACTTGGGAGATGTTCATTAGGGTTGGATTGTTGGAACTCATAGACTTGGATCTCACTGGAGCATTCTGTTTCCTTAGTGGGGTTGGAACAGGAGCAATATGTAGTCTAGTGAGTGGAGTTTGGAGTCTTGTGATGCACAAGAGCTATGCCACAGAACTGTCCATTTATGCTTTTCTTATTGGCTATTTCATGGTAAGAGCTGAATAATTTGGTTGCATTTGACAATTTGAGTGCCTTCTTTCTCACATCTATGTCATACTATGATAAACGACCCTTACTGTAGTGCTATTGTCTTATGCAGTGTCGATTGGCCATTGCATGGGCACAAGCTTGTGTTTCAGCTTACTATGTTGCCTACGCAGAAAATCCACAGAGCACTCATTTTGACTCCACCATTCCAGTACGCTTGGAGCAGCTTAATAGATCTCAAGCTCTGCAAATATTCAGAGCTAATAATTTCAGCCGAGTCTAAATACAACAGTAGACCAATATTCAGAGGTTTCGAAGCACAATTTTGCATTGTATATAATGATGTAGTCATGAATTAGCCCCTGTTCTTACATGAATATAGACAGCTACATGCTATGAAAAACCGCTCCATTGAGTTACTACTGATTATGATAGTCATAGTTGATAGAGTACAACCGAAACAACAAAATCATGTATCATATAAAAACCAGGAAAATGTATTTTTTATCCTGACTTAACTTTCTATTTTTTTTTTATCAAACTTAATTATGCTTCGTGCATTTTTAAATTGATGAATTACTTTTTTAACTTTTTAAAAATATGTGAATTGATACAATGGATATATACTATGAACAACATGTTAGATTTGATCAAATTAATCTAAGTTGAGCTTTAAAATTTGATGAAATCATAAGTGTTATGATTTATTTTATGTGTGTCTAGTATAGAGATACGTGTGTTTTAATTTATTCTATAAATTAATCATGATTTAAGTTAATTAGTAGAAATGTCTTAATTTTTACTAAAATCTATTTTAGAGTTGTTGTAATATGTTAAAATATTCTAAAGATTGATAAAAAAATCAAAATAATGGATTAATTTCACTTAACTACTTAAGTATTATTATATTTTGAAGTTTTAATCGATTAAACAACCATTATTTTTATCAATTAAAATATTCTTGTTTATATTTTTGAAAAATTTGGTTCACTATTTTAATTGATTAATACATTTTGTTATCAATAAAAATATTTTTGCAACTTAGTGAAAATTATATTTTTATTGTTTTAATCGATTATTTGAAATTTTCATGGTTTATAATAAACTTTGGAACATTAGGAAAAAATGTCTCACTATTTTAATTGATTAATCTTCTTTTTTTATCAATTAAAAAGTCATTTTATACCTAGAGTAACTTTTGTTTGCTCTGTTTTAATCAACTTATTAAAGTTTTCAAAAAAATTTATCTTATTATTTTAATCGATTAAAACCACGAATTAATCCATTAATTGAATATTTTAGTGAAAACAATTGATCAAATGATTGATTTAAACAATTAAATTTGTCATCTTCTTCTGTGTAAGTAGTTTTGATTTCTTTATTTTATATAAGATTTTGAGAAAAAAATTTAATAATCTTTTGAGAGCACAATGTGTATTTTTCACAGTGTGATAATTCAAAACACTTTTGAGGTATTTTATACTTATTATGATTCTACAATTAGTGTATTTACTGTATCATCTTTCCAGATGATTTCTTTCTTGTATTCTTTCTTTTCTAGTATAATCATGGTACCTGGTAGTAGGTTGCTGGTGGTGTCAAGATTGATTTTTGTTTGGATAGATGAATATATCTATTAATTTGTAATTGATTCTTGTTACAGTGAGACTTAACCGCTTATGTTAACTTGTATCTTCTTTCTCTTTCTCTTGCACTTATTTTTTATTTATTGCTTTATTCATTAATTAATTTTTGAAAAGGTTAATTCTGTCATTAGAGAATTAGTATAATTTAAAAAAAAATTAATTAATTAATGCTCACGAGAGGTATTTTCATTGGTCAAACATTATCTTAACTGCAAAAGTTGAACATAGGAACTTCAGGTCGACCCGTGTCCCAACCCAAGACAAACCTACTACGGCTAAACCAAGACTTGGTTGAAAATATGTAAATTTAGTATTTGGTATGATTAAACTTATTTAATCATAGTTTTTACTGTCATAAAGTTAAGATGAAGAAAAAAACTAAATTTACATTGGTTTTTTGGAATTTGAAAACTAATTCATCAATTTGAATGTACAAGACTCCAAACTAAGTTTTAAAAAATATATATAAAAGCCAAAAACAATGCGTGCACCACAGGAGTAATAGCTGTAATAATGTAACATTCATGCTGCTCTGCAAATCAAAGGGACATTAGTTCATGACAAAATTTCTTTAAAGAAATAAATCAACTGTATGTAACATTCATGTAAAAGTACTACAGGTAATCATCGCTTTGAGCAAAGAAAATACTTCGAGGAAACACATTAGAATAAATATGATAGCCATCTGAGTTTAAAGCTCATGCTTTAGGAATAGCAGAGATTTTAGTACAGATCTTATGTTTCAGTCATGAAGAGTCCTTGGTTTACAAAAAAATAAAAAATAAAAATGGTGGCAGGCAATATCAACCAAAATATTACATATTGGTGGTACAACCAAATTCCAAAAAGTCGGGCAATATCATTTGGGTACCAGATGACCTCGTCCGCCACATTCTGCACACATTATATTACCTGTTCCCCCACAACCTGCATGGCCACAGTTGTCAAATAAAAACAAACACAAAAGTAATATCCAAATCATCTACACTAGAAAATAGTAGTACAACTTCACAAGCAAATGGCATTTTTTATATATAGTAATAAGAACATGATTCCGCGATCTGCAGTGTAGGATCATAGCTGCACGTGGTGCAGAAAGCCAACTGCAGCAGATGATGTTTCCACCAATAAAGATGCTATGCATCATATATTTAGATTATGATGATTGTCATTTGTACAAAATGCATCCCTTTTAATCTAGCAATTGGTAGAGTGTAACATCAAGTTTGAGCCATATATCAAACAATCCTGTTTAAGTTCAAGTTTACCAAATCTACACATGTCAAAATGATTAAAAAATTTACGAACTTCATTCAAATTCCTCATAGAAGACCAAGCTCCAGTTGTTCATCTACCATAAAAAATAGTTAAGCTAAAATTGTCCGTCTACAAGATCAAGGAAGTTCCATCAGAGAACAGCTTCTACACGTAAGTGACAAACACAAAAAATGCTATTGGTAACAATACCATATAACAAAAATACAGCAAATATAGTTTAAACATGAGTAAGGTGTAGGAGGTCCTGCAGCGAGCACACATCAAAGAAGGTTGTTTGAACAGGAAAGAGAATATACCTAAGCAACGAACTTTAACAATTATGCCCTGGCTTTCCAATATGGAGTCAACATATAGACCAGAACCAGCACAAGTGACACAAAGCACAGCACCTTTCGCCTGGCAATCAGTGCATCGAGGATTGTTTCCAATAGCTTTCTCTTCCAAAGATAACCCAACAGGCTTCTCAATTCTTTCTTCAGGAATAGATTTATCATAACAAAACAGAGATTCAAGATTACTTCTGCGTTTGTTATCATCTGCCTTCAAACTTGAGACAGACTGAAACATGAGGAAGGAAATAGTTAGCTGAGACATCCATACGACAAAGAGTCAAATACCAAACTTCGGCATAAGTAATATGAAAAATGCTCTTCAATCTTGTTGACTATCTATCAAAGGAAAACAACCTCTTATATCCCCCATCAGAAAATTATGCAGCTCCTTTAACATATTACTTCTTCCGGAGCTTTAATATAGACGCATGAGATAGAATTTTTTCTATAATTATCCAACATCTTTAAGACATTTAGGCTTGTTTAGTAGGAAAAATAGAATTCTGTAGGAGATAAGTGCAGTTTGTAAAGTATATGCAATATATTGAGTGAATGTCTAAATTGTCAAAATTGAGAGGCAAAAGTCCGACGTATCACAATATAAAAGGATTTACAGATCCTATAAAATAAAAGGGACAACGGTTTTTACAAAAATATACTCCCTTCCCCCATAACAACCTGAATAAAGTAAAACTTTGATAGAAGCATGGAAAACAATTCCAAAACAATTTAAATACTACATTGTCCACAAGGGAAAACCAAATATTAGGAGCCCATTCATAAAAAAATAAAATTGAGCAATCAAAGTACTTATTCACCAACTAATCAGTAATATGTAACACACTCAATTCCAAGTGTTCAATCCAAAAAATTCTTTAGTTACTCAACTTGTTACATAAAAAGCTTATTGACAAGTGGTACACATATTTTTTAAGGCTACCTAAATATGCAAACTTGATAGATCATTCCATTTAACTTTCTCACCATTTATGGCAAATACAATGTAGTCAAAATTGACATCTTACCTAAGATTGGAAGAGTGAGTCAAACAAATATGTGAGATTGTAATATCACACTTAATATAATGCATAAGAAGGCGAATACTCAAGTACAATTTATAGTATAATTGACATTTCTTCCAACATCTAACACCATTGGATGATATCATCACAGTCAGAGACACAAAACCGAACCCAAGAATAATCATTTGACCATTCAATAAAACTGCACATGAGCAAATTAGAAACAAGCAAGCAGCAAAACACAAAAACTGAAGCAGAAACACATCAAATCAAAGCAAAACAGATGCAAAGAAGGTCAAACCATGACCCACCCTCCCTTTCTTGAGTGAAAAGGTTGAATGAAGGACATAACAATTTGTAGGGCTCGAGGCTTAAGATTTCAGGTGAGCTAAGAGCTGGGGAATTATTTTTCAGAATTGGTTGACTAGATCACCATAATGGGATCTTCCAACACAACAATCCCATGATCAATTTCAGCAATCCCAACCGACCACACCAAATTGTGTTTTCAGGTGTGATCCGGATGTAGCATCAACCAAAAAATCTTGGTCTCATGGACTTGTTCAGTTCTATGATTTATTATTCACCCTTAGTAACTTGGACAAATGAACGGTTTTAGCAAAATCTTAGAATTTTCTAATTTTACCAATATTTAGAAATAAATCTTGCACACATATATATGTAACTTGCGTCCTCACAGTACAATGTTACTACAGGGAATCTTAGATATTGTCTGAACTGAAAGAAGAAAAATCAACTTCTGATCATGTTTCAACCACTAATATATCTATCCTTCAAATGTGCAAATTGTGCACTAAAGACTAGTTTGGATAAACTTTTGATAAGCACTTATACAAGAAGATAATATGAATCAATGAGGCAAAATGTATGAAATTTTTCTTATATCAACTTATAAACCTCATTTTTTCAAAAGCTCCCTTACTTAACTTTTTCTCCAAGTTAAGGTGAATACGTTGATTTTTAACTTAAGATTTTGATTCATTTTATGATTAACCTAAATTCATTTTATTTTTTCTCGTATAAGTGTTCATAGAGATGTTTGTCTAAATTGACTCCGTAATAAGATTTTTTTTAATAAACATGTTATTGTTACAAAGTATCAACTGGATTTACGGAATACAAAAAGAAATTTAACGTCATAATAAACTTTTCTCAAACAACTTTCAAACAAAATTCATGTAAAACATTACTAACCGACAGGAAATTCATTACCAAACTCGATCAACAGACATTTATTAAAGAATTAAAAAAAAAAGGAAAAAAAATGACTGACCCGGTGCGAAGAGCGACTAGAGACAGAGCCATTTGGGGAAATGACATGGATTTTGGTGACACATCCTTTGAATTTGGACCTGAAATTGACGGTGGCATTCTTTTTGGAACTAACAACCTTCGCCGCTGAAGCATTGGGGCAAAGAACAAATTTTGAATTTGCTACTCGCACAGAAGCTAAATCCATCGATGCCCAATGAACATACACAGCTCAAAATGTTCACGCAACACACTTCATCGTACAAATCGCTTGTTTCACCAACTGCGTCTCGTAGTTCACGACGCGGGTCCATGGGTTGTGGAACACCCGAATTCTATACCCGAGCTTGAATTCAGGTTCAATCTATGGACTCAACGAGGGTAGTTTGAAGGGTAATGGGCCTGGAGCCCAGTCTTTATATAATAAACGAAGATTTTAATTGCTATAAAAGAAATATTCGCTTTTGTCTCTTTAATATTGGAAATATTATTATTTATAGCATGATGTAACACTCATTATATTAAATTAAAATATTGAAAAAAATATTGATTTATAGATGAAATTAAAATAAAGTTAATTTAATCTTTGTAAGTACATACAAAATTCTTAATTTTATTCTTATCCATGGAAACTTATTACCAATTCATGTAAAACATCATTGCTTCCTTAGACAATCTTAATTTAGTCTCATATATATAGGTTTTTTAATTTAATTTCCTACACATTCTTAATTTTGACACAAAACCATAGGTAGAACTTAATTTATTCCAATAATAATAATAATTTATTACTTTTACTGTATAAAAAACTTTAAAATTCTTTAAATATTACCTACCGATGTTTGTGGGTTTTGGAACAATTTGCCCTTATTACATTTTTTTTATTAAACTGGTTTAATTCTTGACTTATCAAAATTGATAAAATTAAAAAATATATAAAAATGAGCAAAATTACATTTGAAAAGACAACTTTATAAAAATATTGTGCTCTCTAGCACAATTTTTTTTTAATTTAAAGTGGAATTATAATTCAAAAAACAATATCAGTTTCATAATTAAAAAAAATAATGATAAATTACATTATTAATTATAATAATTATAGTAGTTTTTTATTAGTATTTTTATAATTTATTATGATTTAATAAAATCAAAGTTATGTGAAAAAAATACAATTTAAATTTTATCAATAAAATTAAAGTCAATTTTTTTATATGCTTTTAATCACATTATAATAACGAATAGAAATGCAGGCATTATGTCCATATTTTTTATATAACTGATTTCTTTTAAAATGTTATTTTAAATTTTATTTTATTTTTTTCTCTTTTGATTTTAAATTTTTTCCTTTTTTTCTTTTTTTTATATTTTTATTATTTTTAAAATATATAAATCATAATAATTTTTTAAAACTATAATATTTTTATTTCTCCTATAACATCAAAAAATGGTTACAAAAAATATCTTTTGTATATAATAATAAAAATAATAAAATTGAAATTGTGTTTTAAATCATACTATAATTTAAAAAAAATTGATATAAGCTTCTTGTTTTTATCATCCAATCCCCAAAATACTCCGTAACACCTTAAACAAAGAAAACAAACAAGCCCTAGTCTGAAATTGAGAGAAAACGCAGAAGAAAATTCCGACATGTATTGAATTGAACCAACCTTATCAGCTTCTGCCAAGTTTTCGTAAGTTGCGGTGGAAGTCACACGTTGCGTCAGACGCTTTGGGCAGTGGAGAACCGTGTTATTACAAAGACATTTGGGAAAACGTGTTTTTGACTTTTGGTAGCGTCATCATAATATAGTCCCCAAACACAACTTCTGATAACTACTGATAAGCAGATAACCGCCCCTGCTTTTGTGTCATGTGTTCTCACAGCCTAAATCGTATCTATTCTTAATGTTACTTTAAAGTTATTTTGGAATAATTATAATTTATTTATTTAAATCAAAAAAAGGGTTAAGATATTTTGTATGAATTTATTAAGTATTATGAATATATATATGTTTTTATTAATAAATAATGAGAAAAGTAATTTTTTATTTGAACTAGTTTCCCATACTTAGTAGAAAAAGATAACACTACTGATATTGAGCCACTCTAGGTGAATTTAAATTAATTGTTCCTATTTGCTTGGAACAGATTTTTGTTTGAAAAGGAAGAAAGAAAAGATAGATTTGGAAGGAAGAAAAAGAAGGATAAAGAAAAGTGGAAATAGAAAGAAGTTGACAGAAAGAAAGACTCTCTTAATTGTTCTGTTTTTCCTGCATTTTCTTCTTTTTAATAATTTTCATCCTTACAAAATAATAATAATAATAATAATAATAATAATAATAATAATTATTATTATTATTATTATTATTATTCATTAATACCATCAAGATTCTAAATAAATAAAAAAATTAATTTATGGAGGTCAATCTAAACAAATATTTTTTTAAGGAACAATAATACATATTTTTAATAAAATCTTAAAAAAGAATTAGGACTGTAATCTCCACCCATCTTCCCTAATACAGGTAAAATATCTATTAAGTAGTTAAATAAAATATCTTTGTTTTTTTTTAAATAAATTATAGATATATAATAATATGTTTATAGAGTTAAAATACTAAATCTACTAGTTAATAGTTAAATTAACATAATATCTAAGTAAATAAAATACAAAATAAATGTTATATAAATATATCGGATATAACGTATTAAAGTCATACTAAAATTGTTCAAAGCACATGAAATAAAAATTCAATTCTGAAAACAATATTTCAAAAAAAATTCTATTTGTATTTTATGGTTACACTAGGTAATATAATTTTACAATGAAATAATGGATGTAAACCTTTTTTTTGTTTTGTTATCTATCTCTTTCTTTCTATATATGATATTGTTTAAATTTTATAAGGAATAATTTGAATTTTTTTTCTTCTCTCATTAGAATTGGAGCTTGATTTCATAATACATTGTTATGGGTTGAAATAGACCTTGAGGTATGAGTGAAGATGTTCATTATTAAGGAGGTTTCTTGTCTTGGGGAAATATAAAAGTTAATAAAAAGATTAAGAGTGGATGATCAATTATGGAGGTAAAAATCAGTGATTAATTATGCAAGAAAAAATCACATTGGTGAGGCCATTCTATTAGTCGAATTGCAAAAAAGATTGAGAACTTAACAAAGAGGAGTGTCAAGGGGATGAAACTAGAAAAACATTCGAGCACATCATAAGCTGAAGGAATGAAAGGGCTAATGTTCTATGCAAAGTCCTAAGTCATCTAGGCTAGAAGGGGTCTTGAGTGCCTCCTACCAACTGAGATCAAGGGTTTAGGAAGTTCAAAGTAACCTACACAAGGAAACCTATTACCGCATGTCCATGAGAACCTCCACGGGGTGATGGGACAATGTCTACACCCCTTCATGGATGAAATCATGGGCACACCCCTCCCAACCTCATGGAAAAGCCTAACAATTGACTAATATGTTGAAACAATTAACCTGAACAAACATGTGGACATATATTTAGCATAGGTTAGCTTGTATGCAACGAAAGATGCAATTTATTGTAGGGTATTCCCCACCTCACTTATAGAGGCAAATTTGAGCTAGTTCACTTCCATCCCCCCTTAATCCCTTTACTCGATAGATTGTTTTCAATACGCTTGTAATTAAGTTTGGAATTCAATTTTCCCCAGTAGACTCCATCATATGACATCTTCGATAAGACAAGGCAAGTTCCCTTTGAGCATTCATGGAGAGGTTTAAAAAGGTAAGCACTCAATATCTAGAATTTGAACTCGTAAGTGGCATTGCACCACTTAGTTACAACGTTAAAGCTTGGGCGCTTCGCTGATAGTATGTGCAAGAAGTCGGCCCAAGATCTGGACCAACTAAGGAAACAAGCAAAGAAATTCATGCAATTAGAGGAATTAAGGGAATTTCTTAACCAAGCTTTAATCGAGGTTTTTCCTGAGAGGAAGAATTTCGACAAGGACAAAGGAAAGCAAACACAATTTCAAAATTGGCAAAGGAAGGTGATAAGTTCTTGTTAGATATTCTAGATATTATTAGTCACAATATATGTATTTACCATATTTATTTGCATGACTCTTAATTATAAATATATTACCCTATATGTATTTTAAACACAAGAGAATTAACCTTATACCTAGTTTTTCACTATATTCAACATGGTATCTAGAGCTTAGGTTCTCTTTTTTTGTTCATCGTTGTCCCTACCCCTACACCTGTTGCCTCCGTCGCTGCCACTGTCATCGGAGTCGCCACCATTGTCAAAGCCTTTATCGCCTGAGTCACAGTTCAGACCGACAACCATACTGTTTTGCTCATCTCGATTAGGCAACCACTGTGTCATAGAGATCGCTGCAATCAAAGTCTTTACGCGCTATTTACAGTTTTTAAGGTTTTTTCTCTCTCTTCCTCCATGGCTTCTTCCGCTGTCCCACAATCATCTACTGTGGATTCTACGTCATCTTATATCGCAGACAAATCTGCTATTTTCAATAGATTTTTCAAATGATATGAGACTCGTCATAACTCTAGCCTCACTACTTTTGTTGTACTCACAGGTACATCTTTTGTTAACTTAATTTAATCTCCTTCTATTGGACCTTGGATTCTTGACTCAGATGCTACATGAATGGTTGTTGATGTCCTTTAGTTTAACAAATGCATCAGCCAACTTTCAAGGTCTAATGAATGATCTATTTCGACTTTTTTTTTAGGAAATTTATGTTCCTATTTTTTTTTATGACATTCTAGTTTTTAGTCATTCTTGAAATACTCACTTACGTCATTTGGAACTAGTGTTGTAGGTGTTACAAAATGAAAGATTGTATGCTAAACCTTCCAATTTTTCATTTGGAACTAACATGGTGAACTATTTAGGTCATACCATTTTTGTTGATGGTGTTCAAGTGGAAAAAGACAAGGTGAAAGTAGTGTTTGAATGACAACAACCAAAGAACATTAAACAATTAAGTGGATTTCTAGGCCTTTCTGGCTACTATCGAAGATTCATTAAAAATTATTATTGGATTGTAACACCACTCACAAATTTGTTAAAGAATCCCTAATAGAAAAATGTCAAATAGTGACCGAAATGAGTGACAAAAAATTTTAGTCATTATCAGTGACTAAATTAGTAACCAAATTATTATTTTTTAATTTAATAATTAATATAGTAATTGAATTTTTGGTCACAGAAAATTAGTTACTATTTTGGTTACTATATTATTTAATTAATTAATTTAACAAATGTAAAAATTATATTTCATCAATTTTTACCCTCCCAATTTTTCTTCTTCCTGCCTAACCTAAATCATATTGTACCCAATTCACACCAATATAATCCAACTTACACATTGTTGAATGCAACCTAAACCCATCCAACACACTTATCCACGTCGGATGACCCATTGCTCTTGGATCCAAAAACCTTATCAATTTCATCTAACTTACCACACAAACCTCTGAATTGCAATCTCAAACTTCAACGCCCCTAACCTCGAGAAACTTGAACCCCAAACCCAAACCTAACTCCAGCAACTTCAAACCATAGCCTTGGCGACATCAAACGTTGGCCTAGATCCAAATGTCCTCAAACCCTAATCTCAACCACTACTTGACGAACCTTTAACCCCAACCTCATTGAGCTTCAACCCCCAACCACGATGATGTGACACCATCCTTACTATTGAAAATGATTTTGTTTATATTGGTGTGCCAAAGCACAATGGGTGGAGGAAATGAAAATTTGGGTGTGCAGCAACCAAACCTAGGCTGGTGCTGACATGGCTCATTATAAACCTTGAAAGTCATCTTTAGGGTCATTACTCCAAATGTGGCTATAACATCGTGCAGGTGTTTGGGTGGTGCGATGTTGGTCCCAACCTAGTGGTCTTACCCGACAGCTTCACAGTTGGCCATTGCAGGACAATTGCTCAAGTGGTAGAGGTCATAGTCACTTTGTTTGTTGAAGAAAGTCATGACCCCAAGGCTTGTTTGGATACGTTTGCTTTGAGGAAGAGGGGGACATGGAGTTTGCTAACCAAAATTTCACCTAGGCTAAAATTTTGCTCTCACAAGGATACACCGACCAAAGTAAACCATTCTTCTTTCTCTACTTTACTTTTAATTTAAAGAGATAGACTACTCATTCTTCCTTTCTATATTTTCAAATTAATTGATACAAGCTATAAATTTAAAACTATTTGGTGGCATACATATCACATTAAAATGCAAGTTTGCTAACTCATTATACCAGTTTTCACCAATGTGTTTTCTTTATTACTTTGGTACGATATTATCTATTTTGACATTTGACATTTAGGTAAATTGTAAGGCTGGAATTGGGCAACTATTTAGGTCATTTAAGACATTGTCTATTATAAAAATATAGTACATTATTTCTAATCCTGTTGGAAGCATGTATCATAGTAAACAATGCCAACCACAATAGCGGAAGGAATCTTCTTGTCATGGCTAACCTCATAATGAGTTGTATTGCATGTGAGACTGGTAATAAGTTGCATTGGTTTGAATGTTATTACTAAATTTTCTCCATTTTTTCATTGTGTTTGGTGGTCGGTTTATAAGCCCAAAGCAAGTTTTATCATATTATGTTCCACTACTTAGTTCACAGATCTAGTCTTCATTCATGTGGAACTGATTGGTTAGGTACTTTGAACATATTATTCACAGATAAATTGCTTGAGTTTCTGCTGCGGATGAAATAACCAAATGGTTGATTCAGGTTTGATATCTTATACATCTCTGTTACATGGATCAACTATAACAAACTATATTGATATCATGTATCCTTTTTTAATTGTATTTGATTGCTATTCTCTAAATTTTTTGTAACTAGTTGATTACTTTTTGTGATAATGGTTACAAGTCCATCTATCTGCACACTGTTTGCACATGAACCATTCACACCTTTGACTGGTGACAAATTTTATATTCTTGTGTTTATAGAGCTAGTTGTGCAAAAATCAATATGCACTGTACACTTGTCTCGAGAGTGTGACTTCATGTGTTGTGTTGAAAATCATTTAGTGACTAATATAGTGATATTTTATTTTAAAATTATTTATTAATTTGGTGACTAAATTGGTTATTGATTCAATATTGAATCGGTCATTGATTCGGTCACTGAATTAGCCATTGAATCAATCACTGATTCGGTCATCGAATTAGTCATTGAATCAATCACTGATTAGGCCATCGAATCGGTCATCGAATCGATTCATTGAATCGGTCATTGAACCGGTCACTGATTCGGTTACTGAATCGGTCCCTAAAATCAACGACCAAAGAAAGTGTGACCGATTTAAGTTTGTCACTATTGCAGTCACTAGTTTTGTTAGTGACCGATTTTAGTCATTTAGTGACTGAATTTTCGGTCACTATTTACTTTTTTTCTTGTAGTGAATGAGGCTTATCAATGGTCCCCAAAAGCTACAAAAGTTATCCCTAACTTGAAACAAGTCATTACTTTGTAACCTATGTTGGCCCTACCTAATTTTGAAATACTTTTGAAATTAAAACAAATACTATAGGTATTGGTGTGTCCTTATAAAGGGAAATACCTGGCCTACTTTTATGAGAAAATGTCCCAAAATATGCAACTATAATCAACTTATACAAGGGATATTTTTCTTTATTACCAAAGTTATTTTCAAATATAAGCATTATTTGCTAGAAAAGAGGTTCATCATTAAAACAGATCAATAAAGCCTTAAATCCTTGCTAGATAATAATCTTTCAACCCTTGAACGATAAGAGCGGTTGCACAAATTTTTAGGTATGTGATTTCAAGATAAAGAATAAGTAAGGATACGATGAACATATTTTATCAATAATTTTATTAATTTATTTAGTATATAATTATATTATTAATTATTTATTGTTAACATAGTTTTGATAAAATATAATTATATAGTTTTACATCTAATTTATTAATTAAATTATATATTTTAACTAATTATTTATATATTGATGCAAGAATGATAAATTAAAAAAAAGCAAGTTTTGATTCTCGAGATTCCCTCAAGCATAGCTACATTTTGCTCAATGACACAAAAATCTCATTATTAACATTTTGCCAATTCGTTCGGGGAAGACAATTCTGCTAAGTGAAAACATCATATTTTGACAAACTAAATTAATTGGTATTTTACTCAATGAAGCGTAAATCCACTTAGCGTGAAATTGCAGTATCTACTTTTATAAAATTGTTAAATTCCAATTGATCCAATTGATTTATTTTGTGACTTGTATAGTTCTTGTGAGTTTCGAGTTGTACTCATATTTGGATCTAGATTTCATATTTTTTTCTAGTTTTCTCTCAAATTCTTATAATAGAGTTTGAAACTTCTCTTTCTTGCTCTTGTACGAATTTGACTTTGAAGATGATAAATTCAAGATGTTTTAGATAATATTTGTTTCTTTTTCTCTATTATTTTTGTTTACTTTTTCCAAATTATATTTTCTTTACTATTTTAATGCATTTTATTGATTTTGTTATTCTAAATTTTTTCATGAATTTCTAATTCCTTAAGGTTATTGTACAATCAATTATTGTTTTTTATGATTTAGATTTTATTCTTCATAATTCTAATAGTTCCTTACCTGTTACAACTAATATAATTGAGATTGTTAGATTAAATTTCTTCAATTACATCACAAATCAATTTCTAGGGTTATGTGATCCCTTATTTAGAAATTGAATTATGTTTTCAGGTCAATTTAATGTAATGAATCAATTTGATGTAATTAATTTGATTATAAATGTTTGGAATTTATATGATTCGATCTTATGCTTACATCAAGATAAATAAATAAATGACAATCAAAGAATAAGTTGATGGTTAGTCATTCAACTGATGCTTTTCATAGTTTTTTTATTTATTTCATAGTTAATGTTTTGTTTCCTTGATTGGTTTCACAACCCAAAACTCACAAAATCCCCTTTTGTAATTTTTATGGATTTATATTGTGATTAGAAGTAGATTAAGAAATCAATGACAATATATAAGCAAGTTGATATTAAAGAATCAATCTATCTATGTTATAGATTTCTTCACTGTTTATTGAATAATTGTTAGATTCAATTTTTTTTTTCACTTTTGATTTTGAATTTAATGTTCCCTTTAGTATTCTTTATTAAGACTTAGTTTTACTCCTTTCCTTTGTTGCTTTCAATTTAGATATTTATTCTAAATTTTTGCAATTCATGTTGTGATATCGTAGTTTTATGTTCTGCACAATTTTACAAGCTTTAGTAGTGTAGGTTTTTTTTTTTTTTGTTTACTTTTATGTCATTTACTTTGTTGAACAATTATAATTACTTTTAATAGGTTTAGTTTACTTTACTTATTTTCATATATTCATGTGTTTACTTGCTTTGTATTTTTATTTAAAAACCAAAATATTTAAAATCCCCTTTCTTCCTAGTTTTTGACATTGGAAAATACATGTATCAATTCTTCTCGAGAACTAAATCTAAATTAATCTTAATATTATATTAATTATTGTTATTTAATGTTTGATCTTGACTATAAGATGTGCAATAATCAATTAACAAAACTCTCTTTATTGTAATTGATTGATTATATTATTGTAATGAACCTTTGTTATAATACTAATATAAATCAACGAATCCAACTTCATATTTTGAAATTTGGATTTACGTTGAAAGAAGTTGTTTTTACTTGATAACATATATTTCCTATAAATAATTAAGTGTTTGAAGGAGTGTCTGTAACTGTGTATATATATATTAACTAAATTAAACTATATTTATGATTAGTTAACATTTTATAGTTATTTTTTAATTCATTACCTAATGACTTCCTTTTAGTTTTCATAATTATTTTTTCAGTAATGTAATTGATTAATTTATCTTAGATTAAAAAAAGTTGTATTATATATATATATATATATATATATATAATTTATTTATTCTAAAAATAAGAATTACATTTTTATTTTTATTTTTACTATTTATTTACATTAAGATACTTTATTCTTTTAAATCATTAAATTATAAAATAAAATAAAAATTTTTAAAATGATAATAAAGAATAAAGCTTTAACTTAGTAAATAAATCTCTCCTCATTAATTTATATATATATATATATATATATATATATATATATATATATATTTTTTTATATTATTATTATGGTTACTATATTTAAAGTTTATCACTTTCTAGTCACCCATTTATACATTTCCATTCATTCATGTTACCAAATGTTTTTTTTTTTCAATGTTCAGTTTGAATTTTGAGTGTAGTTATTACAAATTGTTTGAATGTCAGTTATCATCAACTACTACGTACTCTATTCTCAATTTTTCCTCCTTACACTCAATGGTCAGTGATAGATACCGTGCCGAAGGTGGTCTTAATTTGAGTTTGGTCACATTTCATCAAGTTCCTATCAATATTATCATTTTAGACTCTCAAAATTATTTTATATTTTCAATCCATAAAAAAATATCATAATAAAATGAGGTTTTAATTAAAAATCAACGAGAGAACAACTTTATTTATTTTTTAAAATGAGAGACTTAATTATTATCACTCATTGTCAACCATTTTCTCTTTAACTTTCTTTTGAATTTAATGTTTCATGCAAAGAGTGTCCTCTTTGGAAAGAAAAACAAAAAAGAAGAAGAAAAAATGACAAAGGCAATTTCCAAGTCTCTACGTTACCCTCGGTCTCTCTTTTATTTGAACCGTGTTTAATAGAGACAGTGACATATTTCTTTTATTATAACTTTTTTCTTAATTTTTTTTTATTCACTTAATAAAAATGTACGATTCTTTGTTTGTGTTTATTAAATAAAAACGTCATTATTTCTGTGCCCAGTGAGGTGAGCATGAAAGTTAAGTGCATTATTAATTTATTAGCAATACGTGTTAAGATTTTTTTTTAATCGATGTATTTTATTTTTTAAAATAAATTTAGAAGGAAAA